GGCAACTGGAGACTGGCACTTCCGGTTTTCAAGTTATGGTCTGTAAGCTTTCAAGATATGGGCTGTAAGTTAGTGGGCTGTGAAGTTAATTTGATATGCTGCCTTAAAACAATAAAACAGCCAGTTATTTTGCCAGCAAAATGTTCATTCATGTCCACGACATGCAATCTATAGTGAACTGCAATCTCACCCAGCGAACAAAAGAGAGGTCCATTTTCTTTATAGAGAAGGGGGCATTGGGAGGGGCTGTTAAACGGAGTCCATTGGAGGAAACTGGGAGTTTGAAGTGTAGTGGCTTTTCATTGGCTAAGGTGTGACCGTTTCTCATTGGCTGCCTATTGCCAGGCAAGAAAAATTTCTTCCTTCCTCCTGCTGGGTAGTAAAGCAGTAATCTTCTTCCTGTTGGACATGCAAAGATACTTCTTTCTGTCGGGTCTGTAACTGATGTGGAGCAGTAGCGCATAAGAGCTCCCCTTTCTGACCTTCTGACTCCATTTTAAATGAGGCTTCTGCTTATCAATTTTCACAGATATAACATGACAAAATTACATAGAGTTGTATAGGAGTTATCACGTGGAGCAAGAGTAAATGTTATGTGTTTATTAAAAACCTTAAAAGCTTATTCCCACCCTCTTTCCTTGTCCTCCCTTCCCCTGACAGACACCAATATTTTGTTTTTTATACGATTTTCAAATTTAAAAGATATAGTTACAAATATATGTTCTCCTCCCCTTTTCACAAAAGATGACATACTGTTTTGCACTTTGCATTTTTTCACAGCTTATAAATCTTTTATATATCAGTACATAAGAGAGTTTTCTTGTTTTTTGTTATAGCTACGTAACATTCCATTGTACAGGTGTATCATAATTTTGTGATCATTCCTGTTTGGACATTTAGGTTATTTCCAGTATTTTTCAAATAGTGCTGCAATGAATAATTTTGTAGATACATTATTTGCACATAGTAAAGTATATTTGTAGGATACATTTTCTGAAGTGCAATTGCTAGGCTAAAGGGCATATGCATTTGTAATTTTTATAAACATTGCTAGATTGCTTTTTTTAGGGAGCTACACTAACATACTCCCACCAGCACCCTATGAGAGGGCCTCTCACTCCATAGCCTCGCCAATGGAATGTTATCAGATTTTTGCAACCTGAGAAGTGAAAATTAGTATCTCAATATAATTTTAATTTGCTTTTATCTTACTTTAGGATATATTTTCATGCATCTTAAGGTCATTAAAATTTTCTCGGGACTTCCCTGGTGGCACAGTGGTTAAGAATCCACCTGCCAACGCAGGGGACACGGGATCGATCCCTGGTCCGGGAAGATCCCACATGCCGCGGAGCAACAAAACCCATGCACCACAATTACTGAGCCTGCAAACCACAACTACTGAAGCCCATGCACTTAGAGCCTGTGCTCCGCAACAAGAGAAGCCACCGCAATGAGAAGCCGGTGCAGCGCAACGAAAAGTAGCCCCCGCTAGCTGCAACTAGAGAAAGCCCACGCACAGCAATGAAGACCCAACACAGCCAAAAATAAATAAAGGAATAAATAAATTTATTTAAAAAAACCTTGTTCCTTATAAAAAATTTTTTCTCTTTTGTGAATTGCCATATCCTTTGCCCATTTTTCTATTGAGTTATTAGTCTTATTGATTTCTAGGGGCTCTGTATTCATTAGGGAGATTAGCCCTTTGGTCTATGATATGAGTTGAAAAATACTTTTTTTTAAACTTCCTAATCATTTATCCTTTGGTTTCGATAATGGTGTGTTGATTTTGCTACGCATATGTTTTTACATTTATTTTATTATTTTTTAAAGTTTTTATGTTTAGTCAAAATTTTCAGCCTTTTATGGCTTTTAGCTTTCAATCTTTGTTAGAAAGTTCTTTTCCCTCTATTTTTATGAAGGAATTCTTAGGTTGGGTTTTTGTTTGCTGTTTTGGTTGTTCACATAAATAATGTTATACCATTTATAGTAGTCTATGACCGTTTTGTTCACTTCATATATTGTGGAGATCCTTCCATGTGAGAGCTGAAGACTCAATTCAATTGTATTAGTGGCGGGGTGGAGTGCCATGGTACTGATGTTTAGTGATTCATTAAACACTATTAATGGGCTTTCAAGCGAGTCCCACTTTTCAATATTACAAATGACTTGGCAGGACACATCTTGCGTGTGTCCTAGTGAGTCATGGGGCTGGGGTGTGAGAACAGTGCACAGACCTGGGGAGCAGGCTTAGAACGCACTTGTTTCTTTCATTTCTTCACCGACAGGGCCCTCTAGTGGCTCAAGCACAAGAAGGCAGGTCAGACTTGGAGACCTGGCTTCTCTGACATAGAATAATGAAATTAAAGGGCCTTGAAATCTTCTGATTCAACTCCCTCATTTGACACAATAAGCTCAGAGCTTGACCCAGAGCCCAGATCTCTGAGCCCCCAGTATGAAACTCTGCCAGTGCCAGGCTGTTCTTTATATTGTGTAACATTTCACTCCCAGACATGTTCATCAAGTTACAGTGTCTCAAAAGGCTGGCCAGATAAATCTTATATGTCTCTGGGTTATCAGCCAAGGGAAAGAGAGTTCTGGATAGCTGCAAGCTCACTTCTCCCTTCCTCTCTTCTCTGTCCTTATTATCCTTGGTGGGAAAAACAGCCTCCCCCACTGAGAGCCTCTCTACCACCACCAGCATGGACCAGCTGTGCTGGGACTGGAGAGAGGAATGAGGAGAGATGGTGGTCTCCAAGATGCAAGGCAGCCAGGACTCAGAAAAGCACACCTGTGCTGCTCCAGGATTTCTCCACTGGGGGCTCTGAAGGACAGCTAGCTGGTGAAAAGGGACTCTGGAAAACTTTCCTGGAGCTGCATTTGCATTTACAGGCACAATGCTTTGACTAAGACTCTATGTTTATTTCAAAAAGTTTGTCCTGTCTCACTAAGTTAATGGCTTCTTGAGTACAAAAAATAGATCTGACACTTCCTTACAGCCTTCTGGGGCTCCGCACATTACTGTGTGTTCAGTCCACTTCTATCTCTCCATTCTCCAAACCGCCAGGACAGTTAGAATCTTTATGTTAAAATTCAGCAATTATCCTCTTGTAATTACATCGTTTAGCCCAATTACTTTCACGGCTGTTGGTCTTGTACCTTTGGTGAAATTACAAGTTCTTTATTGGCAGGATTTGCACTGGATTCCCTTCCATTTAATCTCTTCCTGGACTTCTGCCCTATTCACCTTGCCTTATTACATAGGTACAATCTCACCCACTCTCTTTAGAAGAGAGCTTAGATCCTGGGGCCTCTTCTATTAAATGGAAGGAAATGAATATTTTAATTTTGCATTTTGGTTCCAGGCACCATTAATTCCTTTCTCTTATAATTCTCACAACAGCCTGAGAAGATGTCATTCTTACAGCTGAAGGGGCAGACTTGGATTTCAAAGCTGGTTTCCACTATACAGGGGAAAGAATGTCCATGAACTCTCTTGCAAGAAAATGACAATTTCCAGAGAAACCATCCCTCTCTCTTCCTTCTCTTTTCATAGCCTTCTCTGGAGCCTAGAACTGGGTTCTGCCAGCATATTCTGACTGGCTAACAAAGGGTTCCAGGATTATCAAAGCTGGAATGTGGCTTCACTTAAAGGCATTTTGAGAATTCATAGCAAAGCTAGCATCAGGGAATTCACATATCTCAACTCCAAGGTAGGAGATGGACCTTTCAGGGCACCACATGAGGCCTTACAGCAGGCTAGGCATGCCCAGAAATCCAGTTCAAGGTGTATGCTTTGTCACTAACAAAAGGCCCTAATTCTGCAACTCTATACCTGCTGGGGAACATTTGCTTATACCTCCTCTGGCCCTCCTCCAATCCAAAGGTAGTAACATTGTCCTCTTTATTTAAGAGAAAAACAAACAAGCAAGGAAATAGATTTTATTTGGGGTATTGCAATAGGGAGAGCACACCAGATATGAAGATCAGAATGTCTAGGTTGTGTGGTTTTGTCTTAGGCTTTCATAGGGAGGAAGGTGGGATGATTTATAGTCGGGATTGATTTGCAATCAGAAGTTTCAATCAGTCAAGTGAACAGAAAATATTTATCTCCGTATCTAGCTAGTTTTAGAGGGCAAAGATTTGAACAGGAAGTTTGAGGATCTGAGTCCGCCCTTATGAGCAGGTTCAGAAAAATGGGGAAAGGTCTTTGGCCTTGTCACGGGTAAACAAGGGGGTCTTCTGTAAGTCTTACAGGACTCATGAAAAAGGGTGGAGAGTGAGTTTTACCTAAGAGATAGGGACAAGGATGGTTCTTTACAGTGAGCCGTTCTGGGAACACTGACAGGTCAGGAAGTTTCTAACCATTGTTGTTTCCTGGGAGCATATAGTGCTCAAGTCAAGTTCAACAGTGTGACTTCCTCAAGATTTCATTAGGGGGGACTCTTCTGGAAGCAAAAACCTGTACTTCGTATTGTTGACCAAATGGCTTTTTAAGATGAAAGTTAAGTCGTTATTTTAAAAAAGAAAGGAAGAAAAATGCCTTGAAAAGAGGCCCTTTTGATCACGCCACTCGGTAACTCAGCCTACTTCGCCAGGTTTCGAACTACAAGTCCCAGAGGGCAATGCGCTACTTCCTCCCAGTACTAAGGGCGGGAATCAAGCGCCTCGCTGCATTATGGGAACAACACTTAATTTCCGTATGATGGAAAATTTAATTTTAGCGGGTCTTCATTTTTCAGAAGAGTAAATTAGAAGGTCCTCGAACAAGGCGCGGACGGAGAACCCATACAGTAACATTATCATCTCCATGGGGAACGGACCAGGTTCCTCCAAGGGAAGGTTTTAACCGCAGCCGCGGCTCCCGCTCAATTTTCCCAGTAGTCTCCTTTCCGGTCGTGTCGTGCGTCATTACCGTTGCGCCTTCTCATTGGCCGGATGACAGGTGACGGCGCCTGCGCACTGAATTCTTTTGAGGGTCGTGGGCAGGCGCCATTTTGGCCCTAGAGGTGCTTCTGGGAAGTAGTGCGGTGACCCACACATCTTGCCAGCCTTCCGGGTACGGCCTCGTCTGCCCGGGCTTTCTAGGTCGAAGTGTTCGCGTCTGCAGCTGTTGCTGCCTTAATCTCCGCAGCCTCCAAGGCCTCTAGTCGGGTGGGAGCCTTTGAGCACCGGGCCGCGCCGTCGGTGGTCACAGAGCCGGGAAGGAGGTGACGGGGGCGGCGCGGGGCGCAGACACTCCCCGCCGAGACCCGCCTGCCATGGATTCGGAATATTACAGCGGCGACCAGTCAGGTGGGGCCCGGACCTAGGGGACAGGGCTGGGGGCGGAGCGGTTACTTGGCCGGGCTTGGCCTCGCACTCCCGCGGGGGAGGGGTGGGGAGGGGAGGGACGCCCCGGAGACTTCCCCTCCGCCGACCGGGTCTAATGGGGAGTGAGGCTGAGCGCTGAGAGCCCGCCGACGGGCTGCGGCCCCCGAAGTTAGAACCTCGGAGAGGGAATTTTAGAGGGACAGTTGTCTTTTGAATCGGCGAAGGACGTTGCTGCATTAGGGAGCCACTTCCATATATCAGACACTTACTGTGTGCAAAGTACGAGGGAAGGTCTACTGATAGGGGATTTTTTTCAGGAGTTGAGAGTGATTTTCGAGAATCCGAGGGAGTTAGCTGTTCAGTGGGGTTGCAGGATCTTATGTAGACTTTTCACTAGGAGTTGGTACTAGTTTGATCTCGCCTGCAAACTAGTTTCTCCCATTAAAGAACAAACACGTAGGACCCGTATTTGAGTTGTATACATATTTTACAATAAGGCGTGTTCCTCTGGGGCTTACTAGCGATTTTTGTTCCTTTCCTTCACCTTGAGATCTTGCCCCTTTCTCCTCACTGAAGTTCTCCTTTCTTTTCCTGTTTAGTCTGTAAACACGCCCCCCCCCCCCCCCCCGCTAACACCGTGCTAGCCACCGGAGATCCAAAGACGAATAAGGCAGAACCTCGTGGGGAATAAAAACGTTACTTTTGCTTTCCTATTGTGTCCTAGTTCCATTGAGTATTCTCTATCAAAAGGGCTTAAATAATTTTCTAAGCGTTAATTACTCTGTTGTGTTTTGAGTTCACTTCGATTCCTTATCATGTGACGGCGAATAGTAGTGACTGCAAACACGTTTCCAAACACATACTGCTCTTTTGCTTTAAACGGTTTCCTGATGTTTTCAAAAATAGTTGTCAGTTCATTTGTGTTTTTAAATTACTTTAAAATAAGTAATCATATGTAATACGTGTATATAACGGGCTGAAAGACATGAAAAGTTAGCAATTTCCTGACTTTTCATTTTTTTAGCCATTTTTTGACGTTCATCCCTGTATTCCTAACTTATGCTATCTCGTTGCATCATTTTTAGGCATTGTGTAACGATTTCCTATTATGCTAGGACAGGGTCTTAGCCTCTCTGTGCCCTCTTTCCCCCATATTCTAACCATTGAAGCATAAGTTTTCGTTACACTTCAGAATTTTTTATGACTATATGATAAGAGTATTAAATATTAAATATATATGTTCTTTACTCCTTAGCTAAGTAGAGAAGCTCATTAGTATGATACTGATTTCATTCTTACACATTTTTTGATTTTCCTATAGTTGAGTGCTTCATTTTTAAAAATTTATTTATTTTTAGTAAACTCCTTACCAAGGCTTCCCATATTCTCCAACAACTCTAAATTCCTCTCAGTACAATTTTACTTTGTATTTTTAAAGTATTGGTTAAAGATCGGTAACAATTCGTTTTATAACAGTATAGTAGTATATGCTTTACTTTAAGGAGTTTACACTATTTCTGGACTGGAGTTCCTTGTGCTCTTCATTCGTAAACAAATACTGTACCAGACAGTGTTCTGGGCTCCAGGGATTCAGCAGTGAACCAAAAATCCCTGTTCTTTTGGCACTTTCATTCAAGCGAGGAGAGAAGCACATTAAACAAAACTAACCTGGAAAGTCATGTAGTACATCCGAAGGTGGTAAGTAAGTGCTATGGAGAAAATAGACTCAGTTATTTTAACATAAAGTTGAAATAAAGTGCACACTATTAGTTTGTTGACTTGGTCCTTAGTGATATTTATTAAGCTTCATATTCCTTTAATGATATATTCTCGCTGCCACATGTGTCAACAATACAAGTTATGATTATTGGTATTTATGTAAGTATTGTACTGTTGTCTTATTCCCAAATTAGCATCATTAGTTATGCTTCATCAGTGCTCTTACACTTGTTCTTGCTCTTACATTTTTCTTGATTCATTGTGTTCATTTCAGTTGTAGATGTCGTCCATCTTACACCTTAAGTGGGTTTTTGTTTTATTTTTAAGCAGATGATGGTGGCGCTACCCCAGTACAGGATGAACGGGATTCAGGGTCAGACGTTGAGGATGATGTAAATGAGCAGCACTCTGGATCAGACACTGGAAGTGTAGAACGTCATTCAGAGGTATTGGCTAAACAACATCTTTGGGGAGGCTTTTCCCTTGCATATTCTATGAGACCTGTTTTATTTAGGAGTTGTAGAGACCTTGTCTTAGGGTCTAGGCTTCAAACCCTTCAAAAATGATAGAGAACTGCTTTAAAAGTAAATAAATAGGGATAGTCTGGTTACTTATGAAATCACAGGGAAATAAGTATTGATTGAGTCCCCTTTTGGATATTAGGCAGTTTCAACTGTGCTTATTGATTCAGAAAATAGGCCAGGCTTTTGATATTTGACTAGGCTTCCCCATTCCCAGAATGATGTCTTAGTGGGGCAGTGTGGATTTGCAATCTGAAGAAACATCAATTGAAATAGAAAGTTATGGTGGTTATCACCTATTGAATTTATATGATTTTAATTTGCTTCCCTGGTTATACAGTCTGTACTGCACAATGTTAACAAAATAAAATTGGGACTTTTTCCAATAATTCAGGTGTAAGTTTTTGGTAAACACAAACTGAAACGTAGGAATGATAAAGATGGCCAATATACCATATATTTTGCTTGACTACACATGCACAGAAAATTGTCCAATTTTAAGTAGTAGATGCAGTTGTTAGAGATTGTATTATTGACTCTGTCCTTTGACATATCACTAGTATATTCATATATCCAACAAATATTTTTTGAGCACCTGCTACGTGTCAGGCTCTTTTGAGTGACTAAATGAGGTTCCACTGCCACAAAAATCCTCTCCTTGGATTTATTTTCCAGCAGGGGGAGAAAGACATTAAACAATATACACTTTTTAAAAAAAAATTTTTTTATTTTTGGCTGCATTGGGTCTTCGTTGCCGCACATGGGCTTTCTCTAGTTGCGGCGAACGGGGGCTACTCTTTGTTGTGGTGAGCGGGCTTCTCATTGTGGTGGCTTCTTTTGTTGCGGAGGACGGGCTCTAGGCGTGTGGGCTTCAGTAGTTGTGGCACGCGGGCTCAGTAGTTGTGGCTTGTGGGCTCTAGAGCGCAGGCTCAGTAGTTGTGGCGCATGGGCTTAGTTGCTCTGCAATATGTGGGATCTTCCCGGACCAGGGCCAAATCCGTGTCCCCTGTCTGTATTGGCAGGCAGATTCTTAATCACTGCGCCACCAGGGAAGCCCTCCACACTTCTTTTTAAAAATTGTAGTTTGTTAGGAGGTGATAAATGCTGTGGGGAAAGAAGAAAGTTTGAACAGAGTGAAGGGTGCCAAGGTGGAGGGCAGGCTTTAGTGTTAAATAGGGAGGTACACGTAGGCCTTATTGAGAAAGTGACATTTGAATCAAGATGTGGAAGGAGGTGAAGGAATAGCATGTGTCTATGTAGGGGATGAACATTCCTAACAAAGATCTAAGGTGGTAGCCATTGTGGCTAGAATAAATAGGGGGCAGGTGAGATCAGAAGTGAGAGGAAGGCTTATCTTTTAGTTATTTTGACGTCGTTCAGTTTTTGGTACACTCTTAAGCATTTAGACTAAATTCTAATTAAAATGTAATTGATAGGTAGAAATTATTTGATAACATAAACATTGTTACAGTTTATTTAGTGTATAATATCTTAACTTTCCATTTTGGAAAACAGCATCAGGAGATTGACTGATGGCTTCATGCTTCAGTTATAAATGTATAAATGTAGTGTTGACTTTCTTTTTTTCAACTACTTTTTTAATGAGATGGATTCTAAATAAAAAATGTACATGTTGAAAATTTGGAAATCATATAAAAGTTTAAAGAAGAAAATTGAAGTCAGCATACTCCTGTCACAGATGACTTAACTTTTTTACATTATTTCTCCTGCATTTTTGTTCTCATTATATAGAACGTATGTATACATTTTAAGTTACTTGTGTTTTTACTATATATGTTACATATCAATATAACATTTTTATCTCTTCACTTAACATTATACTTAAGTATTTCCCCATGTCGTTAAAGATTCCCACTAAGTGTAATTTTTAATGGTTGCATAATATTTCATAATATGGATGGACTTACTTATTCAACAGTTTCCTGATTATTAACATTTAGACTGTTTAGCTGTTATAAATGAAGTCTGCCATGAACATATTTTTGTGCTTTTCGTAGATTTTCCCCTCCAGGAGGGTTATCCTAATTTGCTAAACTTCTAGTAGTTTGAGTGCCAATTGTACCCTTGAAAAAGTACAGTTACATTAAATGGAGCAGTGCAGGTTATAGCCCCCAAGCTTAAAAGATGTGTATTAGTTTCCTATTGCTGCCATAGCAACCTGATATAAATTTAGTGGCTTAAAAAAAGAGATTTGTTTCTTACAATTCTGGACGTCAGAAGTCCAAAGTGGGTCACACTGGGTTAAAATCAAGGTGGCACCAGGGTTGTGTTCCTTCTCTAAGGGAGAATCTACTCCCTTGCCTTCTCTAGCTGTACAGGCCACTTGTACTCATTGGCATATGGCTTCTTCCTCCATCTTCAAAGCTAGAACTGTAGCATCTTTAAATCTCTCAGACCTTAGCTTGTGTTCTCACATGTCTGTCTCTTACTCTGACCCTCCTGCCTCCCTCCCATAAGGACCCTTTGTAATTATACTGGGCTTACTCAGATAATCCAGGGTAATCTTCCTATCCTTAATTACATCTGCACATCCCTTTTGCATATTTACATGTTCTGGGGATTAGGATGTGGACATCTTCTGTGGGGGCATTGTTTTGTCTGCTGCAAGATGGTACTCACAAAGTGATTTTTCCAAATAATGTTTTTCCCGTTTGCATTTTGGAGTTCAGGCTAGTTGTGGTTTGTTTTTTTGGTTTGTTTTTTAATTCATTTTATCTATAATACTCATTCTGCATGTGTTTCTTTAGATCTCTAAGGAAACTGTTAAAAAAGATCAAGATAATATTTTAAAACAATGCAAAAAATATGATGAAAAACAATCAAAATCTTAAAGTCAGGATCAGTAACAGTGCTTTACTGGTCCATATTGGAGCCTGAAGCAAAAGGAAAACTTAGTCGTATGTATGCTAGTATTTAAATTTTGATATTTTTTTCATCATGGATTTTTGTGTCAAATTTGACCTTGAAAAATATCACCTTTTTTAAAAAATATATCTTTATTGAGATAAATTTACATACCATACAATTCACCCATTTTAAAGTATGCAATTCAGTGGTCTTTAGTGTATTCACAGTAGTACAGCCATCACCATAGTCAATTTTAGAATATTTTCATCACATTGAAAAGAAACCCTTTAGCTGTTACCTCCTTATCACCCCCACCCCCCAACCCCTCCTTGTTCTGGACATTTCATATGAATGGAATTATATAACATGTGGTCTTTTGTGACTGGCTTCTTTCACTTAATGCTTTCAATGTTTATCCAAGATGTAGCATGTATCAGTACTTCATTCCTTTTTGTGATCAGTAATATTCCATTCTTTGGATATACCATATTTTGTTTATCCATTTGTCAATTGATGGACATTTAAGTTGCTGCTACTGTTTTTCCCATTTGCTGCATCAGTTTACATTCCCACCAACAGTGCACAAGTGTTCCCTTTCCTCCCCATCCTCCCCAACACTTGTTATTTCTTGTCTTTTTTTTTTCTTTGCGGTACGCGGGCCTCTCACTGTTGTGGCCTCTCCCATTGCAGAGCACAGGCTCTGGATGCGCAGGCTCAGCGGCCATGGCTCACGGGCCCAGCCACTCCACGGCATGTGGGATCTTCCCAGACCGGGGCACGAACCCGTGTCCCCTGCATCAGCAGGCGGACTTTCAACCACTGCGCCACCAGGGAAGCCCTCTTGTCTTTTTGATAAGAGCTGGTGTGAGGTAATATTGTAGCTTTGATGTGCATTTCCGTGATGATGATTGATCTTTTCATGTGTCTGTTGGCCATCTGTATGACTTCTTTGGCCAAATGTCTATTCAGATCCTCTGCCCATTTTGTTATTGGGTTATTTGTTTTTTTTAGTGTTGAGTTGTATGAATTCTTCGTGTATTTTGGATATTAACCCCTTATCAAATATATGTTTTGCGAATATTTTATTCTATTAAGTAGGCGGCCTTTTTGTTTTGTTGATAGTTTCCTTTGCTATGCAAACTTTTAGTTTGATATAGTTCCTTTGTTTACTTTAGCTTTTGTTTCCCTTTCCTGAGGAGACATATCCAAAAAACATGGCTAAGACCAGTGTCAAAGAGTGCACTGCGTATGTTTTCTTCTAGGAGTTTTATGGTTTTAGGTCTTACATTTAAGTTTTTAACCCATTTTGGGTATACTGTTGTATATGGTGTGAAAGTAATCCAGTTTGATTCTTTTTCATGTAGCTGTCCACTTTTCCCAAAACCATTTATTGAAGAGACTATTCTTTCTCATTGTATATTCTTGGCTCCTTTGTTGTAGATCACTTGACCATATATGCATGGGTTTGTTTCTGGGCTCTCTATTCTGTTCGGTCGATCTATGTGTCTGTTTTCTATGCCAGTGTTAACACTGTTTTGACTACTGTAGCTTTGTAATATAGTTTGAGATCTAGGCATATAATGCCTCTGGCTTTGTTCTTTCTCAAGATTGTTTTGGCTATTCAGTATCTTCTGTGGTTCCATAGAGATTTTAGGATAATTTTTCCTAGTTTTTTGAAAAATGTCATAATTTTGAAATGGATTGCATTAAATCTGTAGATTGCTTTGGTTATTATGGTCATTTTAACAATATCAATTTTTCTAATCCATAAGCACATAATAGCTTTCTTTTTATTTGTGACTTCAATTTTTTTTATCAGTGTCTTACAGTTTTCAGTGTACTCTCCTTGTTAAATTTATTCCTAGATTCTTTTACTCTTTTTGAGGCAATTATAGATGGGATTGTTTTCTTAATTTCTTTTTATAGTTCATTGTTAGTGTAAAGAAGTACAACAGATTTTTGTGTATTGATTTGTATCCTACAATTTTACTGAATTCATTGATTAGTTCTATCAGTTTTCTGGTGGAGTCTCTAGGGTTTTCTCTATATATTATGTC